GTTTCAAGTTAGAGGTTGGATAACTTTGAATACATTTGTGAATGAAGTCGTCTTCGAAATAAATCATGTAATGATGGATAAAAGACAAGTAACAAACTGCACTAAAATACAGTTTGTTCCAATCTCTGCATGATGTATGAAAACTTAATGATAACTTTCACTACATATTTCAAAGTACTTCACAAAGTGTCACCTTAAAATTCCATTTTAAATTCTTAAAAATTTCTCAACACAATTCAAAAGGTATTTGAGTGAACAAAGAATATTCTTTTCCATAACTTCTCCTTCTTCTTCTTCATCAGGTTCTACACATCAAGAAGTTATGCGTCAACAATAGTGAGATTCCGATTATCACTTTGTTCACGAAGTATTGAGTGAACCTTAATGATTTAATCCATTTTCAATGGAATTCCATTGAAAATAGACGGTTATCTTATTGACTATACGCTGTAATTATTGTTATAACATGGTAGCTGAATAAAACAATAGGAAGGTGTTTATGACAACTGTGCTAACAAAATACGTTGAGAGAATGAGTTAAAATTATCTCAGATTATAGGGAAGAAGGGGTGTCTACAGTATGGAATCACGCCATGGCAAAATTTGCTTCTTATGAACACAAAACTCAAGTTGTTTCATCTTGATTGTTACTGCTTCTGCAGTTTGAAGGATCCTGAGCTGAGTTCCTTTAGTCAAGTTGATGGGAACACGATACAGAATGGAAAACGATTCATTCATATCCACCTTAAGGTTCATTTCAACTAGATGTGCTAATACAGAACTCATAATGGTCTTTACTACACCTTTACCTATCTATGCTGATGTAAGATGTTCGTTAACACGGAACATTAAATTCCTAGAACACCCGTCGACGTAACTGGCTGGCTCCACAACAGCAGTCGAAATGATAAACACAACGGCAACTGTCCAGTCTACGTCATTCATCTTTCAGTCTCAATGTCACTATTAGGCGTGAATGAATATCTCACTAAGCATATCACTACTTCTAAATTGTACCTGAATGTATAATGATTTTCTGCTAACTATTGCAATATCCTTTCCTACTATTCTTGTACTTATTCTATGTTTCTTTATGAATTAATCATCAGGATGGATAATCATTTTTGATTAGTGTGTTGCAGCACAAAGTCATCACTTCCTCCTCAACTGTATCTCCCTAAAACATGTAGCCTTTATTATGTAAGTTGTAGTTTTCATGAAATTTTGTTTGTACTGAAGGTGGGGGGAGGGGGAGGAAGATGACAAAATGGATGTATTGCTTCGTCCAGGTGATGCTCTTGAACAAATTCCTCTTTATCCACCTATCTCTTCATCTTGAGACAAGGACATCGAGAAAACCTATCTTGCCTTATCATTCTTCTTCACAAAATATCCACTAATATTAGATAAACTGGTTAGCCTATTGAGACTCCATCCATTTGTCCATAAGATTTCATCATCAAATTTAAAGTTAACATTCATTGTATATTTCAACAACAATTCTTTGTGCACATACATAGGGATTCCAACATGAATAGATTTTTCGTGCAATTGATCACCAATTATAGTTGACTTCCTTAAGTGTATAATGTTATTAACAAACTGATATAGGGAATCTCTATAGTGTTGATGCATAATTCCTCAACTTGAAGAAGCTATCGAAAGGCATAATTCTTTGTTCAGACAAATGGTATTTGAATTCCACTGTCATGTGTTTCTTTGATATATGTTACACAATGAAACAGAGTATTTCAGTGATAACTTATTCTTCATATTTATATCCCTAGAGTTCTAAAGAATTTTCGTTACGTCATTTATACACAGCCGAATCATTGACAGATGATGATGATCTGAAATCTGATCTCTTTTTGTTCAGAAACATGACGTCCTTTTCTTAACCTTATCATGGTCAGAGTAGTAATTTCTCTCTGCATGTAAACACAATATTTTATTCAAGATTATTATGGTTAAACAAAGATAGGATAACTGAAGAAAATTTTCTTTTCAGCGACTTCATGTAATGAAGCTGTGTAATTGTATTTGAAATCACTGTAAAACAGATAACAGTCTATATCACTAATCAGTTGGGACATGTGACCACCATAATGTTCAAGAGTAGAAAAGAAATTTGTTTTCAATAATACAAGTGAATTATTACTCTGATGATTATGATAAATACAAGGAGTGGATGTAATGTTTTTTTTCAACGAATACATCATGTCTAAGATTGTGAATTCCGAAGGATTCTTCTATGCCTTGTCGAAGGCCATTGGAATTTTTCGATTGTGGGTTTATAAATAACTTCAAAAGAACTGCTAGCAGGGCTTAGATTGCTGAAGATGACAAGGTTTCAAGAATGGAACTGGTGTTATTTTTTCTCTCTCCTTTGCATAACCAAACTGGACAAAGTTTTAAAATACGTTAACTGACTTGAGACATTTCGTGCAGCTACCCGGGGAATCACATTTTATAGCTGACAATTAATCTATCAATCCGTTAAAGATGGAATACTAAGTTCAAGCACATCAGTGGTCACATGCAGCGTTAAGTCCAAATGCGAAATTTGGAAGACTATCCAACATGTTTATCCAGAGAAGAATGAAGAACTTGTGGTCTCTTCTAGTAGTTCTTCCAAAGTAATTTACAGAATACCCTCCCCAAAATTTTGAAACGCGTCGATTGCATCATCCATACATAGTTGAATCAGTAGCACAGTAATAACGTGCTGGCCGTGGAACCCAAAGGTTGTGGGTTCGATCCCGGGATGGGTGGAACCATGGATGTGCAGTGCTGAGGAATCCCATGATAGGATGGAACCGCTGTCTAGTGATCCGAGTTTTCCAGTGGCTTTCCATCTAATGTCAGTCCTTGATCAATACCAACTTGGAGTCAATAAATCCCTACAGACTTTCAAATGTGATCAACTTGGCTCGATTAGTTCAACCTGTTTACTTTATCTCAAAGTGATTGAGTGAAAGTTGGTAAATAAAATTACTTTATCTGATAGGTTCCATAGAACCCTTTTGGTGAAAAAAGCGGTAAATTTTAGGTAGATGGAGAAAGTGGGAATAATAACTGAACTACTATTCATCCAATCAACACAACACATAACATGAGTAAAAAGAGTTATGTAACACCGCATCCAAATGTGTGTTAAATCACTGCCCATGAAGTCAAACAATGAAAAAGACTACAATTAGAAAACTAAACCAGAAGATTACTTAAGTACACCTGAGCAGTTAATTGTTCTCGAAACGTCTTCCCGTGAACAGTACTACTTTACACTATGATGCGTAGAATGACGGAAAAGTAATAAAAACCTAATTTCAAGGTAGTATTCAATATGAACTGACATTATTTGGCGAGTAATTCAAAGCCATTGGAGCACTGGACACTTAGTTTCATCCTGCTACGTGATTTCTTATCGGTGCACACTCTTATTTGAGTTTCTGCTCTGTTTTGTGAAAGGGTCTGTGACGAGAACTGGAGACAGTTCGATTCTATAGGTTGTTACTATTATTTGTACCATGGAATCCTACTGGAATATACGGATTCGCTAGCAAATCGCCATTTCACTCTCTTCTCTCCAGTCTTCCAAACCTAACTCAACCACTGCCCATAACCATTCATTCCCTCCTCACACCATCTCCACCATGTCACCTTAGACTCGGATGCCCAACTCACCGTACCCCATGTAAATTCCACTCGAGGGACTGGTCTCATGTGCGATTTCCCGAAACCGTCTTCTCATTCTATGTCCAATCCAATCCAATCCAATCCATCTCCACTTCCTTCTTCTGCATATCTAATGAACGACAGGTTCTTGCTTCGTTGGTTGGTTGTCAGTCTAGACTTCCTCCTTGCTTATTCTTTCTCACCTTCTCATCTCACCTCATCTTCAGTAAAGAGAGTAGGTAGCTGTTGATGAATGTCTGTGGTTTGTTGGAAATGCTTTTCGTAACGCTCCGAGTCTGTCAATCATCACATAGAAGTACTGACTGACTTGACTGAATAAGTGTTGAAAACCAGGATCTTGTTCCACATGCTGAGTTGAGTGTAGTAGATCTGCACACTGATTTCAGGTTAATGCAGGAAGGCCTGTGTTGCTGTCTTTCCAATGGTGGCTGCTTTCACATCCTCATCTGTGCCACCACCGCCACCGTTGACGTCTGTAGTTACAATGATACTGCCCAGGCAGGTGAAAGAGACAACTTCCTTTCTTTTTATCCCGTTCATCGTGATTGGTGCTTGTTGTTATTGTTGGTTGCTCGTTAGGTAGGTTGGTATCTTCATCACTTCTGTCTTCGTCTTCTTCTCTACATTCACCTCAAGGAAGTTCCGTCTTCGCTGCCTCGCCTCGCCTCGCCTCTCCTGTCAACTTGTTTGTTTTCGCCTATACATCTTCGAATTTGTGCTACATAATATATTAGATATAAATCATCATGATTGGGGAAGTGCAAATCTTCTTCTGGTGTCATTTCATTGGTCAAACAGGTTATGCCGATCTTCTCAGAGCTCCTCACAGTTTCTTGCATGGCTGTCCGGTGGAGTGGAGTGGAGTCGAGTAGAGTGGAGTGGAGTTGACCACAATGAGGAAGATGATGGGTGGTAGTAGGCGGCAACAGTGTCTTACCTGTCAACCTGTCTTCACCTCAAAGGCATCAATGAGCCTTCATTTGTAAACTAGTTGTTATCTATCGTAATCATATATCTGATTTTGAATAAGTTTGATAAGGGTTTTATGGCAGTCAAAGCGTAGTGTTGAAGCAGCTGCTAAATTACTTCCGTAGGTTAGCTAGCTGCATATTATCTGGGTTAGTTGAAAAACTGATTCCTCGAATCTGACTTAACTTGTATTCCTGGTGTGAAGAAAAGTTTAATACACACGCACGCACTCACACGCATACACACACATCATCAGTAACACTCTCAGTATATAGGATATAATTATTAATTAACGTAATAACAAAAATGTCTACATTAAAATATAGTTTTCTTACCAAATACAACTAACTGCAATAAATTTTATAAAGTAGATTCGTCTATCAGGCCATTTAACACATGTATGTAAACAAATGCATATATATGCAATGAAACTGAATAGTTGTAATCCTACATACACATATCCTGGTTTTGAATGATAACGTGAAAATACGCCAACTTCATAATGTGTCTACAAATCATAAAATTATATGTATACAATAAAGAGAAAATATTTTGAATGAATTTTATCACAGATATAGTTGCTTTAACTAAGTAACCAAAGAAAGTGTAATCATGAAATGATATCAATTGAAGAATCATATAATCACCTGGGTGGATTAGATGAAATTTACACTTTATAGTGAATTCACAGACATTTGTCCACTGGGGAAAGGGAAACTCCTAATTTCAATCCCTAATGGGGTTATGAATGTATACAGCTGAGGAGTTCTCAATATAGGGATGAAACATCTGTACACTAAATACTCCCAGATTTCTAATGATTTTCGAAATGAGTAGTATCAAACTGAAATCTATTTAATAAATCTCCATAAAAATTTCTCTTTTCTTTTGTTACACTAACTCAGTTACTATGGTAATCGTTGTTTATCGAACGTTTTAAAAATTACACTTGAACAATGAAAGAAGTATATATTGTTTATATATACATTTGAAGGTATTCATCAAGTGTAACTATAACAACGAATGTTATCAAGTTTAGTTTAAAATAAACTTGAATAATTAATCAGTTGTTTTCATCTTACATGTCAAATATAATATTCACTTAAGATATATATTATACAGTTATAGATTGGTTTGATAATCATTTAGTTATTGTGTTTATTCATTCCCAATGTTTATTCGAATTACAATGGTACTATATTGCCACTATGGTAACAAGTTGACTTGTAGATTCTATTGAGAATTGTTGATCATTCTATCGGGTTCAATGTAGGCAACTGGAAGATTACTATTCATTTACATATAGTAATAATAAAAATAATAACAATATATCTTTAAACATATATAAACTATTTAGTAGAAAAAAGATATCCAGATCATTATAAAAGTAACACTTGAATATGTATTGTTTCAGCATAGTTTCCAAAAAGCGGGATAACTTCAAGTAACGAAATTTTGGCAAAATATAGACAGTTTGAAACAATTAGCCCCTTTAACACATTTACATAACGTTGTTAGAAGACAAAGATTATCTGAAACAGTGTGACTAGTGTACTTGTGCAATACACATTTTGAACAATCTGATCACTACACATTCACTTTCCATATCGTCAATTTATATATGAAAATGAAAAGTCATATATGATGGATATGAAAAGATTGTGACATCAGTCTTGCTAACATTATCACATAACTAAGGATTACTAAGGGGAATTAAGTGAAACGATAAATTTTAATGGTACATACAACAGGGGACTACAGTTTACCTATGGCTGACACATACATATCAGTCGGTAAACACAATGGAATGTGACATAATCATAGATGAGAAATAGAAGTTTGTCTCAAAGCAGGTGTTTTCTTGTCTCACCAATCATAAGCTGAGCTGTAGAGTATGTTTTACTGATAGCAGATTTCAATCTCTATTTCAGCATCATATTAATCGTTTCCCCACTGTATGGTACTTTGAGAAATATATCCTTCATCAGGATCGAGATAATTATAGGCTTAGGGGTTAACTGTTTTCTACAATGCTTCACAAACTGTAATGGATATCCATTTTCCATAAGTATGTCTGCTAGAAATTTCCTCTCATCATCCGGACGGATGATGAGATGTACAAATACGTTGGATTCTATTGAACAAGCATCTTACTATGCCTCTCTCTTTAATTTGACTAGACAAAAGCTGTACAAACTCAAGTACTGTCCTGTCCAAGTAGGCTTCCTATATATTGGTCATCTAATAGATGATCCATGTTCCATCCGACACATGAGTATATCAGAGATGCATGTTGATGGTCATTTTCTTCCTCACATGTCACACTGATATGATCTTGTGTGATATTAGGCTTTTTTAACATACTCACGGTGTCCTCATCTGTGTCGCATATTACTATGATACCATCAACATACCTTCTATATAATGTGACATTACTCATCAAATCATGAGCCATTAGTTCAATATGTGATATGTATATATATATATATATATATATATATATATATATATATATATATATATATATATACATCTGGTAATAACGGTGGTAATGGACTCCACATAGCAACAGCATCAGTTGGTCGGAAGTGTTCACCTTCGAAAGTGGAATGAACTTTATCAGTGTATAATGAGAGGATCGCCTTTAAATGCATTGGAGAAATAGAGAAGGAAGGCGAAATTTGAGGATATATAATCGCATAGAATATTAACTTTCTTCGTTAGGGGTATTATTTATCCCTTGGGTTCTTAGTGGAACACACGGCTTCAGTTGCATGTCGACATTTCACCCTCTTCTCTGATGTCTTTTGAACCTGGCTCCACCACTGCTCAAAAGCTTTCATTTCTTCCTCACACACTCTCCTTCATGTCACCCTCGGCTCTGACGCCCAACTCATTTCCCATTTAGCTTCTACTCGACAGCCTGGTCTGACACGTGATGTCCTCAATCGATTTTCTCAGTCTACGTCCAATTCAATCCATGTCTACTTTCTCCTGCATATTTGTTGGGCGATAGCTTCTTGGTTGGTTCGTTTGATGCTAGGCTACAGTTCGTCTTTGCTTATTATTTCTAGTTATCTGATCTCATCTTTAGTGTCGAGCGTAGCCGGGCACCTGTTGATGAATGTCTGCAGTTTGTTAGAAATACTTTTCGTAAGGCGCCAAGTCTCTGAATAAATCAAATAAAAGCACTGACTTGACTGACTTAGTGTTGAAAATCCGGATTTTGTTCTTAATGCTCAGTGAAGTGGATCTCCACACCAATTTCAGATCGCCGAGGGAAGGCCTGTCTTGCTTTTGCGACCCTCTCTTTTACATCCTCATCTATGCCTGCGTCGCCTGTATTTGAAAGGATACTGCCTAGGTAGGTGAAAGGGACCACTTCCATTGATATTCACATCAGTAAGATAGTCAACAAGTTGAGGTGTATCTTTCAATGAATACTTAAATAATACACTGCCATTAAGCTTAATTTGAAGCAATTAGTCCCTTTAACACATTTACATAACGTTGTTGGAAGACAAAGATTATCTGAAACAGTGTGACTAGTGTACTTGTGCAATACACATTTCGAACAATCTGATCACTTACACATTTACTTTTCATATCGTCAATTTATATATGTAAATGAAAGGAAACAGGAAAAGTTAGACAATGAATGTGAAAAGGTTGTGACATCAGTCAGTCTTGCTAACATTATCACATTACTAAGGATTACCAAGGTGAACAAAGTGAAACAATGAATTGTATTGGTACATACAACTGGGGGCTATACTTTACTAACGGCTAACGCTAATTTTGAAGTTAAATAAAAGTCTGGTCAACATTTGGACCTCACAGCTCAGTTGGTAGGTCACCAGGTAGGAAACCAGGTGGCCATTGGTTTGAATCTCACCGCAGTCCAAAAATTCGATGTCACCTTCAATCATGACCCAGTATCAATTTTTTCATTCCTGTTTCCATACTGATCTTATGATTCATTTGAATGAAGATGGATGTCTGTCATCTGAACTTATCAACGTTTGTGTGCTAAAATATTTTTCACCCATGCTAGTCTGCGTAGCACGGTTACTGCTCCTTAGGCATGTATGTGAGCGTCCACATACTATGCCCGATACTGTATCAGTCAGTCTCCAATACACAAAGTGGCAAAATCATTAGCCAAAATACTAAGCCCGATTCGCGATGTATTATGTAAGTATTTATTGAAAGATACACCTCAACTTCTTGATTGTCTTACTATCATGAATATCAGAGATACGAAGATGTACCCTACTGATGTCAACTCATCATTTATAGATGTACCCCTAACGAAGAAAGTCAATATTCTGTGCGATTATATATCCTCGAATTTTGCCTTCCTTCTCTATTTCTCCAATGCATTTAAAAGCGATCCTCTCATTATACACTGATAAAGTTCATCCCACTTTCGAAGGTAAACACTTCCGACCAACTGATGCTGTTGCTATGTGGAGTCCATTAGCACCGTTATTACCAGATGTATATATATATATATATATATATATATATATATATATATATATATATACATATCACATATTGAACTAATGGCTCATGATTTGATGAGTAATGTCACATTATATAGAAGGTATGTTGATGGTATCATAGTAATATGCGACACAGATGAGGACACCGTGAGTATGTTAAAAAAGCCTAATATCACACAAGATCATATCAGTGTGACATGTGAGGAAGAAAATGACCATCAACGTGCATCTCTGATATACTCATGTGTCGGATGGAACATGGATCATCTATCAGATGATCAATATATAGGAAGCCTACTTGGACAGGACAGTACTTGAGTTTGTACAGCTTTTGTCTAATCAAATTAAAGAGAGAGGCATAGTAAGATGTTTGTTCAATAGAATCCAACGTATTTGTACATCTGATAGGATGGATGATGAGAGGAAATTTCTGACAGACACACTCATGGTAAAAGGATATCCAGTACAGTTTGTCGACCGTTTTAGGAAACAGCTGACCCCGAAGCCTATAATCCTCTCGGTCTTAAAGAAAGACATATTTCTCAAAGTACCATACAGAGAGGAAACAAGTGGTATGATATTGAAGCAGATTATCAGTAAAACATACTATACAGCTCAGTTTATCATTCGTGAGACAAGAAAACACCTACTTCGCCACAAACCTCAATCTCTCATCAATGATTATGTCACATCCGACTGTGTTTACTAATTTACATGTATATGTGGACACACATACATATCGAGGAGTAATGGTACTATATGGACTACGATGGGTGAACACATATCTAAATGGCTTGAAAAACAGTTTAACACACAAACATTGATAAGTACAGGTGACAGACATCCATCGTTATCTATAGCAAAACATCTTCATTAAAATGAATCACAAGGTTAATATGAAACCACCCTTCAAGATATTATACAAGAATAAGCAGGGGGGCATACTGATATTTGCCGAAGCGTTAGCCATCCATAAACTGTGCGTAGAAAAACAATTTGT